AATTAATGAAAGCAGATATAGTCTTAGTGGAAAGATCAATAAGCGAGCAATAGTGCAAGAGAGTATGGACATGAAAAGAGAAGAATTATCAGTAAATGAGACTAGACAGAAATGTTTGAACTAATAAAGTTCTTTTGAGTTTCTAACTAAATGACAAGCATAGTAATATTACAACCTGCTGTGGTGCCTAATCAGCACTGTAACATCATTCACTTAGTATAAGTACACTTGAAAAGTCCTGAAACTCGCTCTGACGGTGCTAATAAATAACACCCTTAGAGACTTAGTGAAAAATAAGTAGCAAATGTATGGGTGCTGTAACAGGTAGCACATGCACTTGTGCTATAAAAGCAGCACGCAAGAGCAATCAGAATATATCAGCAGCCTAAAGGTGCTATGCATATCTATTTTATCTATTTATTTTCAGTTTTTTTTTTAAACACGGTTGCCTCTTCAGCTTAAAATAAAATGCTGTCCGTGAGGGCCCCGGATGAAATCAATACAAACGATCGTATATCCAAAATAACTAAACAAAATATCCATAATACACAATCGTAATGTAGAACTTACAGCAGGAAGACAAATATTAACAAGAAATTAAAACACATGTATACATACAAATTCAAGTAAGTGACATTCAAACGACTTATAGTATACTTAACAAGTGAAATTGGGAGAGAAACTGACAGAAATATAAATACAAAGTGGGATATGTATGGCGAAGACAAAACAGGTTATAGAAGGAAAGGTGAATGGTAGAGAATGTAGGTAAAAAGTGAGAGAAAACGTGAGAAAGAGATTTAGGGTTAGAGGACAAATAAATAGACAATATGAGAATAACCAAAGAAATTGAGAATTTTGAAGAAAAAAATAACTTCAGAGTGGATTTGAAACCCTCATTAAACAATGATACAGTAACATACACATATAATACAAAGTGAAACTAGAGGCAGTCGAAAGATGGGTGAAACCTGATGGAGGCCCTTTGTTCTGTTTTGAGTATAGTCCTCCAAGTGCTAAAAACAGCACTTCAGTTTTAGAGTGTACTAGAACTACTACATTTACTACTACTACACTGCAAATTAGTTGTCTAATGACAATAGTTGGGTGGTTCTCCCATTAGTCCTTACACAGGGATTGTGTTAAGTTGTGTTAAAACAAAAGCAGCTGTGTAAATTCCTTTCACAACTTAACACAACCCCTACGTAAGGAGTGAACCATCCAACTGGTGTGTGAAGTCGTTACACAACGAATTTGCAGTGTACTACTACAATTATAACCACTACTACTACTTGTGCCACTACCTCTACTACTACTACTTCTACTCCTATCACTCCTACTACAACTACTTTATTACTACTCCCCCTCTGTTTTACCTTTGCTGTTACTGACGTTTACCTCTTACATTCATATCTCTGCTATTTCTACACTTATCCGATTGTTAGTGTTGCAACCAGCGGCAGCAGCAGCAACAGTAGTAGGAGTGGTAGTAGCAGTTTTACAAAGGGTATTACTAATTTAGTTGTTAACTGTGACATTAAACTATCATCGATGGCAGTAATACTGATATACGTAGGTGTAATAGGACAAAAAGTGGTATACGAGTAGTATCATTAGTAGACGTAGTAGTAGTAGTAGTAGTAGTAGTAGTAGTAGTAGTAGTAATGGTAGTAGTAGTAGTCGTAGTAGTAGAAGTAGTAGTGCCCCCCCCCGCGAAAAGAGAGAGAGAGAGAGAGGGGGAGGGAAAGAGGAGAGAAAGGGAAAGAAAGAAGAGGAAGAAGAAACGAAAAGGAAAAAAAAGAAGGATATCAGGGCCCGAAAGAAACTTGCCTGCAAGACTGCGCTTCCTCCTCCTCCCCCCTCCCCCCCCCCCCCCCTCATCCAAAATAATGAGGAAAGGGAAAGAAAAGAGGGAAAAGGTGGATACAGGGAAGGAAAAAAGAGGAATAAAAAAAAAAAGAAGGGGAATAACAGTTGCAATGATTACGCCTACAAGTTGTTGATCGCGGGCACCGAAAGGCCCCTGCATTCCTCCCCCTCCCCCCCCCCAAGCTCAGGGGGGTGAACGCTAATTTTCGTATTTTTTTTTGTCCTCGGAAATGTGAAAAATCGCACCCCCCTCCCCCCCCCCCCCCTTAAGCGCCAGTGGAGGGGGCCCATCTAAAAAAAAAAAAAAAAAAAACGCAATTAGTGAACGGCCAGTGTCACAACAGTTTCAAAATATGCTTATCTAACCAGAGGTTTTAGGCATTTAACTACGGTAGTTAAATTCCTAAAACCCCTGAGCTTCCGGGGGCTCTGCACCCTGAACCCCACCTAGGGGCTTAAGGCGGACTTGAAACTCATCTGACCGTGTTTAAATGCCTAAAACCACTGAGCTTCTGGGGGCTCCGCCCATCGTTCCCACCAGAGGGCCTAAAGCGGGCCCCTGAATGCTTATCTGATCGATATAAAATAGCTCAAATCCCTGAGTTTCAGGGGGTTCATCCCCTGGACTACACGCCAACTAGTTACCTGCCATAGCATGAACAAGGTATAAAAATATGCTCATCTGACCGTAATTAAATGTCCATACCCCCTGAGCTTCTGGGGCTCCGCCCCTTGACCCCCCAAGGGGGTTTGCCCCTAGACCCCACACCAATTTAGGCTACGCTCTACATGATCGTAAATACTTTAGCCTCCCTCACCCAATTTGTAAAACGTTCAGCGGGGCCTGCATGTAAGAGTAGGATGAAGCGGATTTTTGGTCTGCCCCCCCCCCCCCAAAAGAAGAAATAATATGTCCTCTTTACCCCCCCCCCCCCCCCCCCCCGCTTATTCAGCGGCTGGCTGAGTCGTTGTGAAATTTTCCTGCGTACGCCACCGACTACACTAATACTACTAATGATGATAATATAAAGAAAAGATCCTACCGAATAAACATATTGAAACAAATTGAAACAAATATATTAAAATCGCATTGCAGTGTGTTGGAACGAATTTGAAAGTTGTCCAGCACTACATCACGGTAACATTACGGAAACCGCCAATTTGAAGTCGCAATATGTAGGCTATATAGTGATTAGAATTTACAATTTTATTTTATTTTTTTTTTATTTATTTTTTTTTAATTTATTTATTTATTTTTATTTATTATTATTATTATTATTATTATTATTATTATTATTTTTTTTTTTTTTTTTTTTTTGGGGGGGGGGGTAATCCGATTGCGTTCAAACTTTTTCCAGTCTCTCTCTCTCTCTCTCTCTCGCTCCTTTTTTGTTGGGGGGGGGGAGTGAAATGCATTTCCCCCTCTCCCATATCGTTGAAATATTGTGAGAGGATGGGCAATCGTGTTTTTAAATTTTATTAAAAGGATGAGAGGACATGAGCACCTAAACGCTGGCGTATTGATGGGGGGGGGGGGGGGGGGGGGGGGGGTATTTCTAATTCGATACCAGGGATTTACAAATGTTGCAGAAAAGACCTGATTTTCCGGTATTTTTTCTCAATTTCTTTGTAAGTCATACCTTTTGATGCGGTTGTTGGCAAATTAGAAATTCCCAAATTTACAGTCGGGCATAAAAAAAGGACCTTCGGCGGTGCTTTGGGTGCTCATCTGACCGTAATTAAATACCTAAAACCCTTGAGTTTTTATTCTGCCCTCCCCCCCCCCCTTCCAAAGGTATGTGCTCATTACACCATAGTGCCCCTGGAAGGTGAGCCCCCTGGAATGTCCCCCCCCCCCCCCATCCCAAACTGCTTCCGGCGCGCCTGTCCCTTTCTCTCTCTCTCTCTCTCTCTCTCCCTCTCTCTCTCTCTCTCTCTATATATATGTAATATACTTAATTATATATATTAATTCTTTCTCTATGTCTCTCTCTGTATATAGAAAGTGAAAGAAAGAGAGGAAAAGAGAAGAGAGAGAGAGAGAAAAAAAAAGAAAAAAAAGAAAAAGGGGGTATAGCTACAATATACTGTGGGTGTAGCATAGAGATAGCCTGTGTCATCCTTTGCTTGCATCATAATTTCACACTGTCAAAGTCGATCATGAATACAAGTTAACATTTCCATCTGTGAGGAGAGTTATGGTGATTATAAAGGATCGGACAGAGAGTGCAGAGAGAGAGAGAGAGAGACCAAGAGGTGGAACTTATGGACAAGAATGACTTGAAATCAAAAGCAACATCTGCAGGATAAGGGAACTATAGGCAGGCGCGGATCCAGGATTTCTTAGGGGAGGGGGCCCAACTTTTTTTTTTTTTGCTCCCTAAAATTTGAAAATCGCGCCGGCCGAAAAGTCGCTCAGTGGGGGGGGGGGGGGGGGGGGGGGGTTGTGAGCACATTTTTTTTTCAAAATTTCAATTTGCACCCCCCCCCCCCAAAAAAAAGGTAAAAATCACGTGATTTTACATGATTTTTTTCTCAAGGGGGGGGGGGCCCGGCCCCCCCCCCCCTCCTGGATCCGCCACTGACTATAGGAACAACAACATTAAAGGTAAAGACCAGTTTTGGAGAAGAAAACAATCAGGAATAAATACATCGGGCACATCGGGAAAAAAAATAAGACTATTATAGAGCTAATCTTTTTGTGGGAGGCTAGAGCACAGGGAGGAGGAAGACTAACAAAAGGCCTACTGCTGAAAGCAGAATGAGAGATCGGAGAGACAAAACAAGGTAATAAAATCATTAATTTACGACATAATTATGGACATGAATGAATATTGCTTATTTGAATTAAGTGGACTCTACAAATAATATCTTTTTCCATTTGATAAAATGAAAATGGAAGATTATCACATTTTATTTTCTATAATGGTCACATGAATATAGTATCTCTTCTTGAATTATAGAAAGTGACCACTTAGCTAGCACCTGTCTCGCAAAAGATCAGAGTTCCTCTTATTTATCGCATCCCCAGTGACTCTACTCCGCAATCTCGCATGGCGCCATCCCCGTAATACAACACACAAGTGTGGTAACTGCAATAGTGTGGTACACGTACGATGGATAGGACGTGAACACACACTAATGTGAAGACGCACGGCACTTGTGCACAGCATCTACATGCATTACCAATCAATCCGCTGCAACTTGTTGACTGATACGGCAAGTGAAAACAAACAGGTAGTTATTTATTGATTTTAATTATAAAATACGTTTGTATTACAATGGATATTTGATTTATGATATGAAACATTGTTAAATGTCCTTGCCATGGGGAAATGTATTTGATTATGTTGTATGTTCAGCGCTAGCGGACAACGCGTCTCCGTGAGAGAGCGAAGGGGGTGACAATGTACGGAAGTATATCTCTGTGTGTACACCTCGTCATCGCATCCCCGTGAAAGTTGTGACTTCACAGATGGTGTACACTGTACGTGCGTGCTTGTGAGGGCACTTTCGTGCGATGTGATTCCAAGACGGGAGAGCAATGGACTGCGATTAGATGAGAATGGAACGTACGTTGCATTTGATGCGTGTTTAAATGCATATAGATCTAGTCTAAATAGGTTTGTGCTGGTACATATGCAAATGAATGAAAAATGCATTTTCAAAAGCCATTTTGTTAAAGACTGTGTCAGTGGGTGATCACATTGATTGCAGCAGCTATTTTGGATAATTATAATTTGGTGAAGATGACTGATATATATGGCCATTAAATTGTGTTGCTATGGTGATGGTGATGGTGGTGATGATAATTTGGTGATGGAATTGTCTCTGAGAGTTAATTATCTGAAGATATGTTAGATTATTATGATGAGTTAGGATTGATTAATGACGACCGGGGTATAATTTTGAGATATATTCATTTTATTGTTCATCAAAGTGTATTTCCATGCAATTCCTTCCATTGGATTACTATCACAGTATCACTACCCCCCTAAGTCCGCGGTGTAAAGTCAATACGGGCCGATATTTTATGTATTACAAGCCGGACTTTGTTGCGTGAAAAGTACCCCTTTACCAGAGATTTTGAGAACATGAATGTGGTCCCTCCGTTCCTGAGTTGGGGGGGGGGGGGGGGAGGGGAGGGTGGAGCCTCAAATATATAACTGTAAATTTAGTATGTAATAATAATAATATTCCACATTTACATAGCACTTAATTGACTATGACTCTAAGCGCTTTACAGATTAAAGTATTAGCCCAGTCATCAGATTCAGGCTTACCCACACACAATGTATGCACATTCTCCACTCCCCGGGGAGCACTTCAGCCAGGCACCATTTTTACAGATCCTCACGATGCTGAGCAAATTAGATTAAATGTTCGCATCCTACCTGGTACTGTACCCATTTAACACCTGGGTGGAGAGTGGATATTAAACTACTTGCCATTATAATACTTATCACAGCACTTCTTAAAATGGGGACAACTAATATACTCAGGCAAATATCAACCTATATTATATATTGCTTAAAACACAAATGGGTATATAAACATTTTTGCTAAAAGCAAAGCATCATTTATTATATGCCTATCAATGTAGTTTTTATTGCAAAATCTCCACTATTGGGTAGTTTATATGTGAATAGTTATGTTGTTGTTGTTGCTCTTAGTGTATTAACAGAAGGGGGCAGACCAGAAACGATCCAAAGGAGATTAAAAATTGGCTCCAGAAGTTCTGAACAGAAGAACTTGATATATGTTCATCTTACAGTTATATCACTGATTTTCAATTTGTAAAAGCAGTTACGGAATATCTGTAGTCACCCAAATTCCCTGGCACTGTGATATTATTTGATGTACTTGGTCATTTACATGTACATGTATGTGAATCTGCCTGTAAACTGGAGGATCAATAAATGTACAGGTGAATGAATGCATGTTATTATACCCAACTACAGTTTATACAAGAAAATGCATAATTTCTGTATTTTCCTTCTTTGAGTAACCTGAAATTGAGATATAACATAGTAGAGGTGTCGTGGACGAGTGGATATGTCACTGCACTGTGGATCACAAGGTCCGCGGTTCAAGTCCCACCGCGGCACTAATGTCCTTTGGCAAGACATTGATCTACATTTGCCACTCTCCACCCAGGTGTTAAATTGGTACCCAGTAGGATGGGAAAGCTAATGTGCTTAGATTAGCAAGTGTGCGCTTGTAAAAATGATGCACTGGCTGGAATGCTCCCCAGGGAGTGGAAAATGTGCATACATTGTGTGCGGGTAAGCCTGAATCCGATGACCGGGTTAATAATATGATTGCAGGGCCCTCATGGAGAACAGTATGAATACTGATGAGGCTACCCTGGGTAAACAAGACATATTATTATTATTATTATTATTATTATAGATGATGACATGTTTCCTCATCATATGATTGTGTGAAAGCGTATATGACCAGGCATTTATTTTGCCTAACGCGTATTTATCCAGTAGTAATGACTGGTCATTATCAACATCATGTTATAAAACATCACTTTATTAAACAAATAAAACATCATTTAATTAAACGAATAAAACATAATCTTATAAAACAATTAATTTACATCAATTTGTTCGGCATTAGTATAATTACCCAAACTCAGTACCTTCAAAACAGTCAAAACTTTCACCTCGGGCTTGTTAGACTGTTCGAAAGGTACATCATGTGGGTAATTGTTACTAATGCCCTCACTGATGTGTATTATTTGTATACTTTCATTGACAATGCGATTCATTTCAGTCTTTCTTGCAGGAGCCTAACAACCCTTCAAGCCACAATGACAGTCTCTAGATCTTTTCCATGACTGATTTCCTCTCTGGACTATGACAGCGCCCATGACAGCCCTCGGTATGGGAAACCAACGATACTTTGACGTCTACCTGGACGACCCCAGTTCCAGTGAAGATGAATACGTTGACCTCAGTCGACCTTTGATGTCCCCAAGGAAGTTTGCTCGCAGAATACCCGCACGCCCCACCCCGGTGAAGACGAACACGCCAGACACAAAACTACCAAAAAGGAAGCCGGTATGGTACTTTAAGAGGAAGAAGGATTGCCTCCAGGCTTTCTATGTTGTCATGATCATTATGGTGATTGTTCTATTTGCCTTAGTTTTGATGAGGATCTTGAAGGATGCCGCCAAACACCGGACCAGTGATGACGAAGATACAAATCATCTATCTGCCATTGCCTCATTCGGGAACTTTGCCATGGGTAGGCCTTTTGGGATCGGCATGCCGATTAAACCCTCGGAAAAACCCACTGTGTCTTCCAATTTGAAAGAACCTCCAAAGACCCCCACTGTTGCTAGTCAAGATGAAGATGAACCATCCAAAGCTGATGCTGCTAACCCTCAGGAAGAGCCTCAAAGAACAGTACTACCTTGTACCAAGTACACTCTCCAGGATGTCTGGATCCAGAACATTCCACAGCTACAGATAGAGTCAGGCATCAGACTCTTGGATGTCAACCAAGACAGTGTGCTTGATGTGATCATAGGATTTGCAACAGGTAAAGCTTCATGACCACAATTAAATTCCTCCTTTAACATTTCCTGTTAAGCCAAATAAAAAAGGAGGAGGCCCTTGTTTGTCTTTTTTCAAAATGGCTGCTCAAAATGGCCGCTCGGCATGTTTTAATCCATGAAAGACAAAAAAAATATATAAAAAATAGGAGGCGGCCCCAAAAAAGGAAGTGGGCGGACGGGGACGCTAAACATGTTATATGTTTTAATGGTCTTAGCTTTTGAAAAAAATTGTGTTGACAAAAATGGTCAGAAATGTTATCGAAGCAAAGTTACATGGTTAGGTATAATTATTACATTGGATATGGCTGCTTTCCCCTGTCAGCAGGCAGGTAAAATAACATCACCAATCACAATAACAACCTTTGCTTGTCTGCAGATGCCAATTCATATTTTGCTCATCTGTACCTGATGTATCTTTTTGATGTTTATAATTTGTAATCGTGTACTGACATGCAAATGAAACAAATTTCCAATCATTGGACAATAAATTTGAATATGAATATAATATATGAATATGTTCTATCTATTTCAAGGGGATTATACCATGTACCGGTATTTAGATGTGTTCAGGTCCTGGAGAGTATCATTTGCCATGTCCCTTGTATTGGAATTTAGAGCTATGGATTCCTTGCTTGCTTACGTTACCAGGGTGGTCCAGAAATAAAAATTTAAACGTATAAAATTGGAACGAAGAAAGAGTATGAAGTGATGTATGCGAAGCATGGAGGTTCTTTGTGGCTAGGCTCCAGGGCCCGTTTTCAATTCAATACTAAGCATAAGTAAGAAATTTACTAAGCTGGCTAAGTTAAGTAATTTACTTATGTCGTATTCAAATCGCATTTTAGAATGATACTTACGTAAGACAAAATCTAAGTAAAGTACTTAATGATAAGCATTGTGACGTCATACGGTCAATTAAAATTAATGCGCAATTGATGCGTTGCAATAAATGCGCGCAGATATAATTGTGCGCAGGTTATAATACTGCGTAACTGAGAAAACCATTATGCCTGCCAATCAAGGACTCCAAATAAATGTAATTGGCTTAAGTCTGGTATGGAGATTTTGCTTAGTTTTAGGGTAAAATACGTAGCCAAAAGTGTGAATTGAATACCAAAATTGGCTAAGTATATTATCTAATCCAAATGCTAAGTAAAAAGCTTAAATTTTGTACTTAAGTATTGAATTGAATACGGGCCCTGGGCAATGCAATCGTATGACCAGAATTGATATTTACCTTTAAATTCAACTGATTTTCTGCAGATGTCGGTTCATATTTTGCTGACGAGTACCTAGGCAGATAGACGTACAATACATTTTTCATCTTTATAATATTGTTAAACTTTCTTTTCCAACATATCAAAAAGCAGAACCATACTATTCAGTTTACAAATAAACATCTGTTATTCAATTATTATAACAATGCAATTTGAAAACAATCAATAATATATTTATCTTAAATAAAAGACATCATGGGTAAATTATTTAGTTTGATTTGTGGTCGTTAATTTGCATTTTTTTTGTCAATATTGTAATTTAAATTTTTTTTTTTTTTTTTAAAGGTTTATACTATTAAATGCCTATTATTTTTTACTTGGTTTTGATTTGAAGTATTTATTTTGTCATATGATCTTGTTCAGTTAGCTTGTGTAACTGGCTTTTGTTTTTACTATAATTCGTATATTTTCATTTAGTTCATGAAAACAACCCTTAGGCTGGAGCAAGTTACCGTGTTTACATAAATAACTGATATGAAATGATAGGTAAACAAAATATTGACAGTTTGCTTACCTGTAGATGAAAACAGCACAATGTGTCAACTCCGATGATGGATCGAAACAGGTAATGGACCTGGCTTCAAGTAGCTCCCAACCATCTAAAATATACCAAACGTTTTTTTGTTGTGGTTACATTTCAACGCCATTATGTCATGGAAACAACTTTAGAAGGTAATCCTAACAAAAATGAACTTAAAATGATAAGAGGAAAAACTTATGCATACCATTACATGAAAACCCGAAAATTAAATCTGTTTCACTTCATATATTCGCTAGACCATTTGGAATAATTATACGACAACAACAATTTCGAAGAGCCAGGTTATTCCTTATGTTATCTCTTGTTTTGATCATTCCTTATGCATTTCATTGTTTTTTAAACTTATTTCACTTTTAACCAATACCAAATAACCAATGTTTTATCTCTTTTTAGGAAAAATTATATGTCCATATGTTTTGTAAACAAATCACCAAAATGAGCGATTTTCGTGATGAAATGCTTAGATAAAAGGGCATGTGACTTTGTAACTGTACGTCCGATTTTCAAACATATTGTTTTAAAAGATGAGTAAGACTCGAAAGAAAGAAGTCACGATATGAACAATTTATACCTGCCGTGGTTCCGGAGTAGTCGCTAAATTACTAGAGGGGGTCAAATTGACCCCCCCCCCCCCCAGGTTAGGGTTAAGTTCCTTTTTTCACATGCAATTTTGAAATAATAAATGCAATACAAACTTATACTGTGAAGATGTGTTTATTGTTTATGAATATCATTTTTGTTAATATGCTATGTTTTGTTAATAAAGAGATAGGGTCGCTAAAAAGTGGTATCGGGTTTTAGAACGCTCAAGCTCATGAATAAATGTTGGATGCCTTGAGATTACCTGATTCACAATATGGACACAGTTGCCTACGTTAAGAATGACATAAACAATTTCACGAAACTAACACCAGCAGGTAATACTCTCACAACCTAGGTTACAACGTTGAAACAGGATCATACTATCCCTATATGTAATCCTGAATTTTCAAAAACACAATATGTTTGTGTAACAGGGTTCTTAGGGAGTAGTTGTCCTAGGGGAAATTTTCCGGGGGCAATTGTCCTAGGGGTGGTTGTCTCTAGGGGGATTATCCGGGGGGAATTTTCCGGGGGGTAATTGTCCTTTGGGGTAATTTTCTCGGGGGGGGGGGGAGGGTTGCCTATGGTGTAATTATGCTGATTCTTCAAATCACCTGTTTGTGTAATACTCACCTGATTTCTGCTGGAAAATTAGAAAATCTCCCTCATCTTTCAAATCATCTTCACTAAGAGTCTTCAAAAGGGTATTGCTTGTGGACCCCTCAGCGCAGATGATGAGATCAACATGGATCTTGTCTTTGCCGTTTTTCACATCGATTCCTGCACATTTCTCTGTCTTAGCTTTAATTGTCCTAGTCTGTTTATTGCTGTTATTTTCACTAAGTTCTGTGGTCGCCTTGGAAGGTTTTTCCTCTACTTTACGAACTTTAGGTCGGTCCGGCAAAAGTTTCACGAAGGACTGCATTGTGCTGACCACATGGTCATCACTCATAGGATCCTCAGCTTCACAGAACAGGACATAGGCTGAACACTCAACTACAGTGGGTTGTTTCTTCTTGAAAATTTCCTCACGGTCTTTGGTTATCTCCACCCCAGTAGCAATGACTGCAACACGATCACTACCTGCAGAAATGAATGACAACATATGTTAATCGATCATTTATAACTTATACACATTGAAAGATTGCAACCGATATGTACTACTACTTGAACTCTGCCTAATTTGTGTAAAAAGCATATCCCGTCACTCACTAAAATGTAATGTTTGTAATGTAGGTGAAACAATCCGTCTTATTAACAAATGGTTTCGTCCCATTTGCCAAACGCTGTGTTTTAAAAAGTGTGCTGCAAATGGGTTTGTATATGAATAAATATTATCACAAGTGGTTGTACGCAGTGCTAGCGTTCGAAATCAGTCGGTGTCACGGCGAGGTGCGTCTGCGTGAAACCCTGTGTGTAAGACAAATCTCGCCTGGTGGTATAAGTCTAGCAAACACATCTAGCGATTCTGCAAGCGAGAAATGTCTCCAAGATTGGCGTTATAAGTCTGTAATTTGCGAAAAGTGTCCACTGGTCAATTATTCACGGCTAACAAAAATAACAAACAACCAAATTTGCGTTTATGTCGTGGCTTTATTAACATTTTGAGATGGACGCTTATTTTGCACATTTTGATTTTCTGGGTGTCATAACAAAATAACACAGATATATTGAATCATAAAAAATGCTTACAAATGCAATGCTAGGCCCCCCGCCTATGAAATCGAGTGATGCCTAGGCTAAACTTATATACATTAAGTCATTATATCAGCCCCCCGCCTATAAAATCGAGTGATGCCTAAAGTTATGCTAGGCCCCCCCCCCCCCCCGCCTATGAAATCGAGTGATGCCTAGGCTAAACTTATATACATTAAGTCATTATATCAGCCCCCCGCCTATAAAATCGAGTGATGCCTAAAGTTATAGAATATAGATGTATATATATACCAGCCTCTCCGCCTGTAAGATCGGATGATGCCTAAGATTAAAGCGTGACACCCTGAGTTTGAAAATGTGTAGGTACAACTAGGTCCCCCCGCATTCAAATCGAATGGGGGCCGGAAAACTAAGAATTGACATGCGAACAAATTCGACTGAATATACATTGGCAACCCCCTCGCATGTAAAAATTGAGTGGGGTCGAAAATTATCGGATGACAATTATTGATCAATAAACTTATCAGTACCATGTGATTAGTGATTTACCCATACAAAACCGGGTAGGGGCGAAACCCAATGGGAAAAATTCCCCTACGGCCCACTTTCTTTGTGCACGACGCAAGTTGATGTGCGACCAGGCCAAATGCCCCCGGCTCTGCATTAACTTCATAAATCACTGACCAATTTATTACATAAACCCTATCCGTACCTTTCATACCTTAAACCCTAAATCCTTTCCGTACTAATACGTATACCTTGGCTACTTCGAACCACCAAGCAATACTTAATTTATGCCACTAATATACTAAAAATACTTTTATTGGTGGAGCTAATGGGGAGGTGGTGGGAATGTTTTAGACTCCGTAAATTTTTCTTCTTGTCCATTCAAAATGAAAGCCATAACTAGAATGAAAGCCCCTTCGTGCTATTTTTAATTTGCTGGCGGTATTTTCCGCGCTTGCTTGATAAGCGTACATACGCTTGTACATTTCCTTCCAATGTAATACAAAGTATTACATTTCCTAGCGCGTGAATTTCCCTCAAAAATGTAAACAACCTCTTGACCTACATTTTGTCAGCCTGTCAATAAACCATTTTAAATCGTTGTCTACTCTTTAAATTTTATTATTCACGGCTAACAAAAATAACAAACAACCAAATTTGCGTTTATGTCGTGGCTTTATTAACATTTTGAGATGGACGCTTATTTTGCACATTTTGATTTTCTGGGTGTCATAACAAAATAACACAGATATATTGAATCATAAAAAATGCTTACAAATGCAATGCTAGGCCCCCCGCCTATGAAATCGAGTGATGCCTAGGCTAAACTTATATACATTAAGTCATTATATCAGCCCCCCGCCTATAAAATCGAGTGATGCCTAAAGTTATGCTAGGCCCCCCCCGCCTATGAAATCGAGTGATGCCTAGGCTAAACTTATATACATTAAGTCATTATATCAGCCCCCCGCCTATAAAATCGAGTGATGCCTAAAGTTATAGAATATAGATGTATATATATACCAGCCTCTCCGCCTGTAAGATCGGATGATGCCTAAGATTAAAGCGTGACACCCTGAGTTTGAAAATGTGTAGGTACAACTAGGTCCCCCCGCATTCAAATCGAATGGGGGCCGGAAAACTAAGAATTGACATGCGAACAAATTCGACTGAATATACATTGGCAACCCCCTCGCATGTAAAAATTGAGTGGGGTCGAAAATTATCGGATGACAATTATTGATCAATAAACTTATCAGTACCATGTGATTAGTGATTTGGAGGCATAATTTGACAAATTACCGCCAAACGAGAATATATTTATATATGATCGGCCGCCAAATCACAACGTTGTCATCAAACGATTTTTGTGCACTAAGGGAATATCTATGCTCAACTATTTACACTTTGGTGGAATTAACATTTCAATTGGCCAAATTAACCAATGTACATGTACAAGCATGTACCTTTTCGCCCTTAAGCTAATTTATAACCCTATAACAGACTACAGAGTATCGTAATAACTTATCTCTACAACACCGGCACATCATTATGCCTAATTCATTCCCCTCAAAGAAGTGACTAAACCGTTAATGCCCATTTCGAAATGAAGCATTCGCAAAACTGGTCATTTACCAATGTCCACCTAAACCTGCCCCATATAACCATTATTTACTCTCCACAACTTTGTTTCTCCCAAAATAAGGCACTCTTATCCCAACAACAAAAACATGATCTTGCG